TGGGGGTGGGGGTGGGATGGCCCAGCCCAGGGCACTGAGGTCAGGGCAGGCCGGTGACGAGGGATCCTGGGGGAACAGGAGCTTCCACTTGGAGGTAGGATGCAGGGGGAGGTCAAGGGGAAGGGGTGGCAGACCCTGACTTCCGGAATTCCTGGGGGCAGGAGGATGGTGGATGCCGGGTCAGGTGAGGGTGACCTCAGGGTGATGGGGTAGGCGGTGTCATCTGCTGAGACACCGCCCCACAGGCTGTGGTGCTGACAGGCCGGGTCAGCTGTGGGTGCTGGGGCAGGTGCTGAGGGTCTCTGAGCAGACGATGGCCAGTCCCAGAGGGCGGGGTGGGCAGCTGGGGGCAGCCATGTGAGCCAGGCCTGTGGGCGGGGCCCTGGGCGCCTGTGCTCCCCGAGGTGTTGCCCTCGGTTGGGTCCTGGATCCTGGTGGTCAGAGACTGTAAACCCTTGTTTGGTGGAATTCCGGAGCCGGCGGGGCTCGCACCGCGCAGACCTGCTCTCCTCTGGTCGGCACGGGGCCGGCAGATGCTTTTAAGGCTCTGCACTCGGGGTGTCAACATGGGGGGCTTCCCTGCAGCTTCGCTTCTGCTCTGAGGACGAGCTTCCCGCTTTTTCAGCAAAGTCACCTCCCTCCCCTTCCCTGGGGGGTGCGGGAGGGGGGGGCAGGACTGGCGCTTGTTTCAGGGCGAGGGGGGAGCAGAACAGCCCTCTCCCTCCTCTGGGGGGGCGCCCCGCCTGTGAAGGCCAGCCTCAGAGGTGACCCAGAATCCCCGAGCCGCCTGCGGGCTCCCGCGTCAGCGTCCCATTTCTGGAGGAAGAGATGAAAGGCGGTGGCCTTCTGTGACTCGGCTTCTCAAAAATAATTGTGCCGGAGGCAGCGGACGGTCCTCCAGGGCCCTGGTCACTGCGCTGTCCACCCTGCTCCTCCCCCACCCGCTGTCCCTTCCTGCTGGGGCCCCAGTCCTGGGATGGGGCCGGGGTGCTCGCGCATCTGCACTGTCCAGGTTTGGGGGACGGTTTAAGGAAG